TGAAATAAATGTATCTAGTGTATTTAGCATGTAAATTTTGTTAGGGTATATAAATATTCCATATTACGAATCTGTGATTTTTGTTAATATTTTGTTGATGCATTTAACTATTATTGACATATTTCCTTATAAATAATAGAAGATTCCTAAACTTATATCTATTGACATATTTTGCGTGACTAAGTTGGAAGGTGTGGGGTAATTTATCAAAACTAAATTGTTAAGCGTATCTTTGTTATTATAGATATGGTTTTTTATAAGATATAATAATGATAAGATGATTAGAAAGTTAATGTAACATGACTTTCTAGTAATAGTCCATTTTTTAAAAAAATCACACATGACTTGACTTATGTTTTAATATATAAGATGACAACCGTTTGTCCAAACTCTAATTTCATAGAATAGATTTTTTTTTTTTTTTTCTAGTTGCCCAAAAAAAAAGATTTTTTATTTCTTCTGAAGACTCTTCACGAAACCTGAATAAATACGAAAGTGGCCTCTGTCGAAGATCAATTCCCCCTGGTGAGTTCATCTTTTTCTTTTGTCGATCGCTATGTTCTTTCTCAACATGAGATTACGTTTCAGTCTGAAAGAGCATTTTCTTTCTTGGGTTTCTAGGGTTTTGGTATATCTACATTTTAGGGTTTCCGCAGGAACAGAGAATTAGGGTTTCACTGAAATTAGAGATTCAGTAACTACTTTTGGAGTTTCATCTGTTAGTTGTTGTTGCGTACAGAGAGATAATTGTGGGATACGGTGAAAGAAATGATCTTTTTATCTAACGAGAAAGCATGTTTCTTGCAAACAGAGAACAATGGATCCGACAAAGACATTTTCTTTCTTACATATGCTTGTTTTGGGTTTGCAGAAAGAGTGTATCTGATCCTGATGGGTGCTCCTAAGCATAAATGGACTGAAGAAGAAGAGTCTGCTCTAAGATCTGCCATTGTCAAGCATGGCCCTGGTAGATGGCGCACAATCCTCAAAGACCCTGACTTTAGTGATGTCTTGTTCCTTCGTTCCAATGTTGATCTTAAGGTCATGACTTCTTCTTGATCCTTATCAAGCATGGCCCTTGTTTTGTTTGTGGCTATGAGTTTTTTCTTAATCTGATTTAGAATGGGTTTGTTTTGTTGTTTTGAGACAGGATAAATGGAGAAATCTTAATGTCATGATGACTGGATCCGGATCTCGTTCAAGGTCTAGTGTTGCTGTTAAAAGGACTGTTAGCTCATCTCAAAGTGATGAAGAAATACTGGATGCAGTGCCAGTTTCTACTCTAAGGATGCCTAATTGGTCAGAAACATCATCTAATCTCTGTTTCTTTCATTGAAGAGGAGATGCTTTATAATTGTGACATTATGATGAGGGTTTAAGTGTTCTCTTATACATAGATGTATATATCATTTTTTAACTTGTAAAAAACATTGCAGGCTGGATAGCCTTATAACGGAAGCAATATCTACCATGAAAGCGCCTGGTGGTTCTGGCAAAACAGCAATTGGTAACTACATCCAGGTATTCAGTTTTTAGTACTTAGTTCCTCATAGACTTTAGCTATTGTCTAAACAACAATTGGTGCCTACATTTCAATCTGATGATTCTCAGTGGGTTGATATAGGAACGATATCAGGTACCGCCCAAGTTCAAAAAGATGCTGTCTTCCAAGCTAAAGTACTTGTCAGCTTGTGGTACTGGTAAGCTTATCAAGGTAAGAGGTATCATGTTCATGTATACTCCTTATATGCAATCAACTTGCTTCATGGTTGTATTGATCAGGATCTTTTCACTTTTACAGGATAGAGGCAAGTATAGAATTCCAAACTCCACTGCTCTGTCTTTCCACAGAAAAAGACATTTGGGGACATCGTCTGGTAAAAAGAGTATTCCTTCTTCGCCGTCGTCACCTGAAACAGACAGAGATGAAGTGACTGTTCAGACAAAGTCAGAGGATGATGCCGAGTTAGCTAGAATGATGATTTTGGACATACAAGAGGCGGCTGCAGTTGCTGCACAGGCAGTTGCAGAGGCAGAAGCTGCGATGGCAGAGGCTGATGAAGCTGCAAAGCAAGCAGATGTAGCAGAAGTTGAAGCAGAAGCAGCTCAAGCTTTCGCCGAAGAAGTTTCAAAGACACTGAAAGGCATAAACAACTGCAATGTGGTACAAAACACACACTCCTTTATGACAAACACACATTAAATCTATGACAAAGAAAATACTTTTTTAATGGTTGTATTGAAACTTTGGTTCAACAGATGATCCATGCTTGAGGTGACTGAGAGAAGGAGAAGAAGCTAAATGTGTTGCATGTGAAAAAAGAGAGAAATAGAGAAGCATAGGAGTAGTGTTTGTGTGTTAGGAACGTATGTCTATTACTGTTGTTTACTTGTTCCCTTACAGTTTTATATCCTTTTGTTTAGATTTTGTCAACTTTAAAAAATTTCAGTGAAGTTTAGGGACTTGTGTGTACTATTCATGAGCTTGACTGAAATAAACGCTGATGCATTACAATTTACAGACAAAGCTCAAAACGAAAGGATCAAAAGCTAAGATTCCAAAGACACTGTTATTTTTTTTCTTACCACCAGAGAGTATGGACTTTACTCAAAGCCAAAGGAACACAATCTCAGATTCTTAAGGCACTGTATAGTTCACCCACTTCACTTTACAGCCAAAATAACTTCTTAAAACTCAACAAACATAAAATGCTACAATCTTCTTTGGGCAACAAACGCAACACCAAGTCCAAATAACTATCTGCTCATTCCATAGTTCAGGACTATGCTGGAGGATTTGGGTACACTTTAGGTTTCGGCTTCACTTCGACTTCATTAACATTTCGAACAAAGATTGCGTCCGGTTCATGCCTGCAAATACCCAGCAACACACAAGAACCGCTAAAGGAGACATCAACCCAAAAGCAAACACAATAATATCTCTAGAATGCTACACTATGGATGCTTTATATGCCTGATGAGATCTATGATCATTACAGAGAGTGAGATTACTTACGGTTTGTCTCCCTCTTCAAAGGTGTAACTAGAAGCAACAGCCAGTAGGCCACCATCTCGGCTGAATGACAACGCCGCAATACTCGTTGGATACTTAGAATACTACCCAAAAAAACACCAAAAGTTAATGATGTGTCTCCCTTAGCAAAAGAAAGTTATATCAAAAGTAAATGTCATTGCTAAACCTGATATAGCCTCTTCTTGTTGTTACCATCCCAAACGTTGACGAAACCATCACAACCTCCGGTAGCAAAAGTGCCATAACTACAGTTCCAAAACCATTAGTTACTAGAAGCGATAGAGTGGCTGCACTGAGACCCGTAACTTAAAGTTCCATATACTAGTGGACCCAATAACAAACATTTTCAGTGTTTACTTGCTAAGTAAAATTTGGCATATACAATACTATGAACTATCCTTCCACATATGTTGGCAAACCAGAAATTACACATTTCTTTCTGTGAAAAGTTGGTTAAGACTAGAGGCAACCGTGTATATGAAAGGAGACAAACAGATCTCTAAGATAAACACTTACATCGGATGGAAGGCAATCGCATTTACAGGGTAGACAATGTCCCTTCCATCCTCGGATTTTCGGTGACATTTGAAAGCATATCTGAAAAGAGATTGAAATATAATTTTCAGATAAAAAGAAGAGATAAGAATTCGTCATAAACAGGTAACAGGAAAGGCATCATGAACATACTTTTTAGCTTGAGCTGCCTCTGATAGATCGAAAAACTCCATTGAGACCCTCCCTTCAACAGAGCTAAGTGCATATCCTGCAGAGAATTAATAAAACCATAAGCGTGGAAGAGGAAAAAGAGGGATAACAATTTGAAGTATTAGAAAAGCAACATGTGAGGCATTTGAACCTGTTCCATTGGGATAACAACGCACACATCTGGTCTGGTACTTGAGTGAGGACTCCCTTCTCTGCTCAGGCTGGGCCATATTTCTCAAATCATAAATGTTGACATGCCTTCCTGCTGTCGCCACAACCAAATGATTCCCAACGAGAGAAAGAGAGTTAACACGCTCAGGTTGCTTATATGTTCCAATCTGAGAGCGCTCCGGGCCACTTGCAGCTCTCGGGTCCCAACATTTAACCGTCTTATCCCAACTTCCAGTGATCACTTGCCCTACAAAAACATAGTGTTCAAGTAACAGAAGCACCCAAATGCTAAAAAACTGACCTAATACATAAGAAGACACTATGAAAACATTTAATCAATGTTAAATTAGCGGACTAAACATTTAACATGGTAAAGAGTTCAACTAAGAACATGAATAGAAGTTAACGAACCTGCAGCATAAGAATACTCAACACATCGCACTGGTTCATCATGCGTTCCAAGAATGTCCTCTTTCCCAGCATTGAAGTCAATTCTGATGTAACAACATATGATTGAAACTTTATACTCACTCACTACCAGTAACAACAAGGAAAATAACAACATACCGTCTAACTTTATGATCAGCAGAGGCACTGAAGCCAGAATACTCGTCATGGAAGCAGCAATCGAGCACAGCTCCTCCATGCTTGAACTCTCCTCTCATCGAATCATCCGCCTTCGCATCATACAATCTCACACTCTTCAAACAACCCCAAATCACAAATTACCAAAATCATCAGATTAAAGACAGATCAGTACAAAAATATCAAGAGGTAGATTCTAACCTTATCCCATGAAGAGACGAGTAGATGATCGCTGCTATTGGAAAACCGGAGATTCGAGATCCCATCGGACGGCGGATTCGAGAGCTCGCGACCTATGGAGGGTACTAGAGTCATCGTGAAGTACACAAAATCGAAGATTAGGGTTTATCGTGGAAGAGAGAGAGAGAGAGAGAAGGGGGAAGTAGGTTTGGAGTTTGAATTTCAAATTTTATTCCTAACGAAGAAGAGGATCGGATCTGTGTTGTGTCAGTAACTGAATGCAATTTTGCTGTGCTTAAGTTGTTTAACTGGGCCGTAAATTGTCTTGTAATGGGCCACCAATTAAGCCCATTTTTTGAATCATCAGCTAGTACTATTTCATATTTTAGGCCTCGATTGGTACAACAGATGATAAAGCAGTAGCAGTATGCTGCAGAAGCAGTATGCTATAGAAGCTGTATGCTTTCATTAAATTTTTTAATAAAGTGATTGGCAGAGCATTAGCAGTATACAATTTTAAAATTGTCATAATAGTTAGTAAAATAATATATTTCTTTTAAAAATAATATATATATAATATATATTAATAATATATAATTTTATTAAAAACAATTGATTTTCATTATGTAAATTATATTAAAAATTTTTTTTTAAAAAATATTAATTTTTTTGGATATAACATATTACTCATATATAAAATTATAGTTATAATTTAATTAATTATTATTAAATTAGAATTATTATTAAATAAATAAATTAATTAATTATAATTTATATATAAATTATTATTATTTATTTATTGGTAGAGCACTAAATTACTCATATATAAAATTATCATAAAAGTTAATATATAATTTATTTATTAGTGTCTAAATAATATGTTTATATCGATAATATATAAATTATATTATATTATGTTTGTTATTAAAAATAATGAATGATATATGTAATTATATAAATTATATTTTAAATGTGAAATATTGTTCTTTTGAAAATAATTAATTATAATTTTTATTTTTATTTTTTAAAATATAAATTTATATTTAATTATAAAATTATTTTTTATATTTTAAAAAAAAAAAAATTAATTATATATAAATATTATTAAGTTTTATATTTTCTATATGCAAATGCTCTCCCAAAAGCTCTATATGAGAGCATTGAGCAAAGAGCATTTGGAGAGCATTTGCATTTGGTAAATGCTTTTCTAAATGCTTCTTTGCCAAATGTTGATTGGATAATAGAGAGCATAATGCTTATGCTAATGCTCTACCAATCAA